ACAAGGATCACTCAGTTGGCTTAAGACATATTTCACTACTGGTTCAATTTAAATATATTTTGTGAACGTCAATACAGATTTTTGTCATCTGTGTGCTCACGGCTAAGTTGTTTGCTCGATGTTTGGACGGTTTCAGACGAGTGTACAGTGTGTCGTGGTAGCGCTGCCGTTTTCCCCAATGGTATGTGTTGTTGGACTCGTTTTCAGCCAGCAGAGGGAGCTATAGTATAGGATAAGGAAATCCATAGTACACAAAATGAGGGACGGTTCCTACTTATTGCATGTATGTCTTATCATCGCCCATTTTAATTGTTCTTCTTCATGTGTTATTTCCAGTGCGTCTCCTGTAACAAATCCTTCAAGAAGCTGTGGTCGCTGCACGAGCACATCAAGATTGTGCACGGCTACGCCGAGAAGAAATTCTCGTGCGAGATCTGCGAGAAAAAGTTCTACACCATGGCCCATGTCCGCAAGCACATGGTTGGTGAGTGAAGTGTGACAGCCCAGATGACAAATAAAACATATGTTGGACTAGCTTAATGCTAACGTATAATGGGCAGTTCCATCAATGGGCTCACAAATATCATCAATGTGGCGGCTTAAACGGTCAGGTCCATAAATATTGGGATGTTTTAGGAAATGTTTTAACTTTCCTAACCCAAATGTAAAAAAAAATATGCACACACCATTAATCGCAAGTCAATTTGGAGGAGTAGACCAAATATAAAAACGAATGATACAATAATGAGATCGGAAATGAAAGAGCTGCATTGTGAATAGTGAAAAAAATGGTGTGGCGATTGATTTTTGACAGTAATTTAAAACGGAAAAGAAACTCGAACTTGTCAGATTCTTTTTCAGGTCACCCCTTGTTCAGTTTTGAATAGGTGTCTTGCTGAACTGACGTCTTGCGTACTACGCCGAGTTCAAATCCAGTTCATTGTTGTGTTGTTTGGCTTCATCTCGCGCTCCCTTTCTCTCTTTCAAAACTGTATTTCTTACCTGTCAACATGCACAGCTCATACCAAGGACATGCCGTTCACCTGCGAGACCTGCGGCAAGTCGTTCAAGCGCAGCATGTCCCTCAAGGTGCACTCATTGCAGCATTCTGGAGAGAAGCCCTTCCGTTGCGAGGTAGGACATCACCAGTTCACACTTTGTGTTTTAGTTACACACTCAATGGCCCTTTTTTACACTCTACCACTTTACCTTTTTTATTTTTAATTTTTTTTTTTTTTTT